CGGTAGGTGTTCTGCAGGGGAGGTGAGCACAGGGCGTTAGCCGGGCAGGACACACGCACCCCAGCCCCCTCCCACCTCACTCATGCCTTTCGGGCCCCCTTCCCAAAACGAGCGGTGCTAAGTCAGACTCTGGGCTTTCACGACCAGAAAGGTGGGACAGACCACAACTCGCGGCTGTTCTGACGGAGCTAATTTCCAGCTTTAAAACCACTTTAAACTGTGCATTAAATAAAAAATACGAATCAACTTCAAATTTAAAAAAAAAAAAAAAAATCCAGCCAAAGCAAATTCTCTATTTCTGCAAGCATTTCCTCGAGACCTGCCAGCCTGACACCTGGGGAAGATTCTCCCAGCTGCCCTGGCCCAGATGGATCAATGCTTTCCACCGAAAATAGGGAGAGGAATTTCCCTGCTGGCTCCGCCTCCCTGCGCCCCACGCCAGCTCCTCCGGCCTTTGCTCCTTTCCCAAATTAGCTGCTTCCCAAAACAGCAGCAGAGCGCAACAGCGAACCACCGGACGACGTGCCCGGTGGCTTTGTGTGCCGGCCACGCCCGACCCCCAGGACCTGCCCCACGTCCTGACGCAGCACTGGCAGCCCCGGGCCGGCACTGGGGCTCTGCCAGGACAAACCGCGGGGTTCGGGGGACAAAAGTCCCAGGTTTGGGCTCCCACCAGCCCGTTTCACATCCCTCTCCCCAGCCTCTTCCCTGGCCGTGCGTTTACCCATCTCACGGGAGAGCGCCCAGCTCTCACCGCCCGTGCAGCAGCGCCAACAGCCAGCGTGCCCCCGGCTCGGCGGAGAGCAGCCCCCGGCTCCCGCACAGGCTCGGAAGCGGCCGGGAGCTCGGGATAAATGTGGGATGGCTGTTACGGGCTGAGGGACGGTGGGAGGCGGGGACACGGGAGGGTGGCTCTTCTTGAGCATTTTAAATAAAACCACCTGAGCTGAAACATCTGCGCATTTTCCTACAACCATTTCAAAAAGCAAGCAACAGTCTCGTTATGGAAAGTTACCCTGTTCCCCAGAAGTTATGACTAAAGCTGACCCCTTCCCAAATGTTGTATATTAAAAATGTCTGTTACCAAAAAAGCAGGGCTTTCAACCAGAACAGGGCTCTGGGAGCGAGCACCACTCAGCCCTTACGCTAAGAGCTTCGCTGGCAGGAGAGAGAGTAGAGGGGTTAAATCTGCAATCACAGAGGGTGGAAGAGAGACAGAGAGCAATTCAAACAGACCTCGATAAAGAGAAACAGCCCAGAAAAAGAAACCCAGCACGCACATGCACACAGAGCAGGAGGAAACGCAGCACAACACACGGCACAGAGGAAGGAGAAATCAAACGCTCAAGCAGAAAATGGGGAACATCTGACGAGGCGGCCACCCGGGTGCCGGTGGCTAGGGGTGAGCGGAGCTGTGGGCCACAGGGGGGCATCGCTCCTGGGGAGCCTCCCAATGGGGTCCAGGTCCGGCACGGGGTCCAGGAGGATGTGGCCACGGGAGGCAGCTCCCTGGGGGCCGCTCAGCACCGAAGGGGCCGCAGGACCGCGGCAGCGAGGGGAAGCCGGGCAGCCTGGCGGGCAGGGGGGGCGGGGAGCCGAGGGGAACCGTGATTGCAGCTGCGACAGCCCAAGTGCAGCAGCAAGCTGGGGTTCAGCCCCCAGGCGCAAACAAACCCCCTTTCCCCCCCCGAAGCGCCCCAAAAACCCCAGTCGCTGAGTTCGCATAAACTCATTGCTCACAGACGGCGCTGGGCTTGAAACAAGTGTGGAGGGGGACCTCGTGGCACCGGCCCCTTCGGGGGGGGCTTGAACCAGTATATCCAAAGCATAAAACAATCAAATCTTCCTTAGCAGCCCGCCGTGATCCCAGCACCCCCCTGCCCGGCCCCTGCACACCTCGATGCCGCTGATTTGCTGGAGGATCTGACACTGCTGCCCGTCGCCGCTGGCAGCGCCGCGGAGCTTCTCCAGCATGGCCGAGAGCATCCCGCTGGCCACGCTGGTGCAGAAGGCGTCCGAGCCATTGATGAACTCCCTGGAAAGGGTTGGGTGGACGAGCATGAATCCTCCACGCTCTGCTGTGCAACCCCGAACCCCACGCTTGCTTTGGGGAGGACGGGGACACCCGCCTTCCCGCCATCCTGGCGCACTACCCAGTGCTGGCTGGATTTCTAGGGGAAATTTGCTGCACGAACAAGGGCGAACTGTGCTCTGAGCGGGATGAGGCAGTTTCCTGGAGAAGATGTGACCTCCCCAAACCTCTCCCACGTGTACACCCAGCTGCTGCCCGCCCACCTCCACCATGCCTCATCCCTGCAGCGTGACCCCCACCGCTGCGCTTCGGCCCGAGCTGCGTGCTGTGGGCCCCAGAGCTACATCCAGGGACCTGCCCCCTTCGCCCATCGCCGCAACACGTCCTTGTGCACTGCTCCTCTGTCCAGAGACCCACGGCAGCCGGCCCGGCCGCAGCCCTGCAAGGCAGGACTCCACGCCAGGGGGGCTTTGCCGCCTGCCTGCGTCCCGGTCTTTGCACTGTGCAAAGGAGAAGCTCCTCGGAAAGGCCGGGTGAGCCCACAGCGGGGATAACCAATCACTGCTGTTACTATTTCGTAGGCACAAAAAGGGGGCTCTGGCCAGGCTGTGCCCGCGGCTGCTGCCGCTGCAAGCTCAGAGCCGCAGCCATCCAGACCCCGCGGGCACTAACAGACCCCCACCAGCCTCACCCAGACGCTGCACCCTCTGCCCACGGGTCCAGGAGCTCCGTCCTCATCCAGTTTGGGGCCCTCAGGCCTTTTCCAGGCCACGCTGCAGCCGTGCCTCCCTCTGCCCCGGGCCCTGCCGCCAGCCCCATCTCCTGGATGGGCCCCTCAGACCAACGCTGTGGTCCTGCCTTCGGCCCCATCTCCTTTTGCTCCTGACCAGATGTCCCATGTCCTCACCCACCCTGCCTGGGGCTGAGGATGGGGCCCAACACCATCACCTGCCTCTGCCCGCACGTTCAGACCCGACGGTCGGGTGCTGCCCAGGCTGGATCCCCCCGGGTCAGCTCAGCCCCCTGTGGCCAGCCGGTGACGGGCACCTACGGGACTGCACCGGGGCAGAGCCCGCGGGCACCGGGGGACTCACCAGGGCTGGTTCTCCAGCCAGTCGGCCAGAAGACAGCGCAGGCTGCGGGGAAACTCTGCGAAGAGGCCGCTGAACTCCTCCGGCGGCATGTGGGAGACGATGCTCCAGAGGGACATCTTGGGAACAGTCACCTGCGGAGGGACGGGAAGAGGGGACGTGAGCGGGGAGTGGGGTTGCAGCGCCCAGA